CACAGCTCTATACTTCAGGCTTTTGTGAGGTTTGCCCTATGTCAACCTTGATGCATTAGCTAATTCACTCATTTTACCCTTCAAAGACTAGATATAAATCACTCCAGCCCAATTAGACTTGACAACATTTCCTTTGAAAGTAATAAGAAAAGAACAGAAATAAAATACAAAGAGGACTGTGTTTATTTATAGTTATTACTGGTTAAAATTTAAAAGAACTACACAGATGCAAGAGGAAAAATCAATATTCAAGTGACTGATATTGTAATTCTAAGATAATAACAGTATTTTCTCACTAACCTCAACCTAGTTTCTCAAAAGAACAAAACAGTTCATCCTCATTGATTGTCATTTACACAATCATTCATCAGCCAAGCAGGCAAGAAAAAATATGTATTATGTTTTTAATTATATTAGATCAATAACAATGATAAAATTATTAATCAGCCTTTGAGAGTTTATTATTTATGCCATTGGCTATTAGATGCAAAATACTCTAAAGGAGCTCACTCAATATGTTCCTTTATTTATATTTTTTTCTACATATAAATAATCTCTTACCAGAACTTTCTTCCTTCCTTTCTTCCTTTCTTTGTTCAAGACAGGGTTTCTTGTGTAGCCCTGGCTGTCCTGGAAGTATTCAGTATACCAGGCTGGCCTTGAACTCACAAAGGTCGGCTTGCCTCTGCTTCCCGAATGCTGGTTCTAAAGTGAGCGCGACCAAGACCCAGCTATTGCCACCACTTTCAATGGTAGCAATAACCACCTTTGATAAGTTTCTAACTGCAGCACTACATAGGGAAGCTGAAGACGCAGAGATATGATATGTGTCTACAGAGATCTTATATGACAATTGGTTCAGAAAAACAACATATGAAAATATAAATAAATGAAACTGCAAGACGTCACCATAGAGCAAAAAGGATATTCTTAGCCATCATGTGGAATTGTAAAAGAGCTGGAGATGTGTGTAATACTTAGAAAAACTTTTTAAAGACATGTCAAATGGGTATTTTATTTTTGCACATTTCTGTGCTTCCATTTCTTTGAGTTTCATTTTATTCTGATTTTGATGAACTTTATCTCCAATTAGTTCTCATCATCTCTAATTAGTTATCATTGTGTAAATTAAAATCTATTTTTTAAAAGATATGGAACTGAATGTGAGTAGAGAAGAATATACTTAATAATGAACTGCGTGACAATTTACTTGGGGAAAATAAAAGAACAGCTTGGATAATTGGTACAGAAGAAACAGTGAGTGAGGAGCCGATTAAGGAAAGGTTGGTTGGTGGCCCTGGGAAAGTAAAGCCAGTCCAAGGAACAAACGTAGGCCCATGTAGGCACGCACTTCTCTAGAGATGGCACTGTTTATCAGTGGCTGTGGTACCCATTTGGACCTACAGCTTCTGGAGAATCAGAGCTCTTAACATTTGAACAATTTATTGCCTAATTATTGCGTGTGCCCTTTTGAAGCGTCTGTCTGCAGAACGGTTGCTGAATGAGAACACAGAGAGTGGGCCCTTGGAAAGCTGTCTCCGCGTTGCACTAGAAGTAAAATAACCTTTTATCAAATGCTTTGTGACCATTTAGAATATTGAATTTGTATTTTAATCATTGAGTTCAACAGGAATATAGCCAGTGGGAAGGACTTAATTACAAACGTTGTCTTTCTCGTGCTTATGCCCGCAATCCCAAGAGGCGCCTTAATGAAGTTCTGAGCCCTCAGACAGAAAGGTCAAATGGCTTTTCTCCCCCGGTGCCTCAGAGTGCACATAGCTGCACCTTTATCTTAGCAGATGTTCAACCAGGTATAATATTAGCCCGAGGCAAAAATTCCAGGAAACAAGAGTTCACAGGGAAGCCATTCTCTGGAATTTAATGGATAATAGAACTGCCTGTTTGCTAGTTTGAAGAGGGGATGAACTGAGATAATCTCCATTTGAATATAAATGTATATTTTATTAGATGTATAATATGCCAGGAAAATAACATTCTGCTTGGGAATAAATTTATTTCATATCAAAGACTAATAATATTTTAGGCTCCTGTCTCTTTAATGTTGAAAATGCTAATGCTGTGTTTATATTGTGCATACATCCAGACCTGAATGAGTTAAAAACCAGTGAAAATCTCCTTTGTTGATAAATTAGGCAAAAAAAATAATGGTTGAATATTCTAGTTTATCTTGGTTTTTCCTGCTTTGTCAAATTATGTTACAATGAGCAAAAATTAAATCATTATTCATTGCTTATTATAAAATCATTTGAATTAATTTCATTAATTAATACTTTGAGGATCTCTTCAATATAGAGTACCTTTTGGTATGTTTTCCGTGGAAAACATTATTATCATCTAAATTTTTATAATTTATACTATTGTAAAATATCTTAAGAGAAAAAGTAACTGTATTTATTTACACACTTAGATATTTTGACATAAGTTTGTTTTAATGACTGTACACTCATGCAAAATTTGAACAGTTGACCTAGTGTGTATCTTTATTAAACTTTTTGATACATAATCTTTGAATACAAACACACAAGTCTTTTAATGATTGCAACTGTATATAACATCTTTCCAATCAATCCTGAACAACACTTTAAAACACACACTCTTTACAAGATAAATATGTGTGGGGAAAAGACTTGGGACCTTTCAGCAAAGACTAGTTACCAAGCAACCAGCTGGGAAGTGGAGACTGGACACAGGAGTAGGGAAGGATGGGTAGTGTGGCTTGTCAAGACTAGCAGAGGTAAGAGGCCCTCGTTTCTGAAAATCTATCTCAATTGATGAGGCCATACCTGACATGGTCAAAAAATTAATAAATTCTATTATAACAAATTATGGTGTGACTAATTTGCAACACAAATTGTCGTGTATGATAAAACAAGAATGAACTAAATTTGCCTAATACACTGTTGAAGTAAGTTTATTTCCAATAGAACACACACACACAGTCACAAAGCGCCATCCTGAGCCATCAGGTTGGATGTAGGAGCCGGGCAACTGCATGAAATGATGTTTTTTTTTAAACTCAGGGAGCGAGAGCAGTATTTAAACTGTCTTCATACAATTTCATGGACACTCACCACCAGCTTTCCCACCTGGATGGTGCTTTTTAAAATACCCATCATCCTGAATATTTTCAAGAAATTGCATGCAGGCTCTTAGCCGAAAAGCAGAGGTGTGCCTTATTTTTATTGGCGGTTACTGTGGACCTTAAATATCGGTTGTCTTGGAAGCCACCAAATGATTGACATTAAACTGCAAAACTTGTAGCCTATTCTTGTATGGAGAAACAGAATAAATGAAGAAAAGCATTATGATCAGATTTTGGGGGCGCAAGAAATGTATCTATCTTGTTGACTGTTGAATAAGGGCTTCACTTTAAGACACTTTATTTCAAATTTAGTTGTGTTCTCTTGGGAAGACATGACTCGTCCTTACAAAATAAAATAAAATGAAATAGAGAAAAAATAAAGAAACAAAATCTTTCCAACAGGCACCTAAATCTCCAAAGACCCAATGGTAAGGTGGGATGGGACCTAGATCACTCCTAGAGGCAAGAAGTCTGAAACAGCTCGCAAAAAAGCGGGGGGCGGGAAAAAACCGCCCCACCGTGCGGGGTAACACCACAACCAACGCTTTCCCTGCCTCCCTCTGTATCTGGAGTCCTGGAGTACGCAGTAACCACAGTTCGCCACTTAGGCTCTATCTCTAAGACAATAGCGCCGCTCTCTGCTAGCCAAAGGGCTCGGATCTTAAGCTTCTGCCCAGTCACCTACCCCACCCGGAGTTCCTGATCATTCTTCCAGCCAACTCCCCACTAGCTGATCTGCCAAAAGGCTACAGCCATCAGCAGTCTGTCTGCTCCAGGCCTCTACTTCCCCACCCCCACCCTGTCCCTTCCAGCCCCACGCAGCGGGTGAGCCACCTTCCCGCCTGTGCTTCCTGGGGGGCAGGCAGGGAACCGTGGAGTGCCCGGGATGTCGCCCCGGGATCGCGCCCGCTGCTTTGTGACCATTTCTTATGCTGTCGCTCTCTCCTCCTCTCCGCCTGTGGGGCCCTAGGGCTTGTTTGCTTGTCCTCAACCCTGATGCCAGACCAGTTCCCTCCTCCGGCTGCTTCAACAGCCCTTTGCTTCCTGCGGTGTGTTTCTTTCTTTCTTTCCGCCTTTCCTAGGCCCAATCAAAGGTGTCTCTGTTATTGAAATATGAAGCCATTTCCTCTCCAAACCCCTTGGTTACTCAAGGCGGGAATCAATGGGCCTGTATACCCTCCTCCGAATTATAAATAAATAAATGTCTATTTGTTCAGGAGGCGTTTTCCCGCGCGTTCCAGCATCTTCCCCAGTAGTTATTTTGAATGTGTGTGTGTGTGTGTGTGTGTGTGTGTGTGTGTGTGTGTGTGTGTGTGTGTGTGTGTGTGTGAGCATGCCCTGTGACATCTGGTTCTAATCCTGGGTATGGATCTATAACCCAACTCCACCCACCAGACTCCCCCTTGCATTCCTCACTCTATAAATAAACTCAGGTTCTTAGGCACTATCATCTAAGGACACAATAACAGTTGCGGGTTAAGAAAAATTTGGTTCAACATTAGTACCAAGTCCAGTAACGAACAATTTGGGAAGAACAAGCAATTTGTGTGCAAGTTTAGGAAGTTTAGCGTGCTGTTGCCTTTCTTGCCCGCAGAGGAAAGACATCTCCCACCCTTGGGTTTTCCTTTTAAGTAGAGACTAAAACAACAAGGTGACAATTGTGTAGGGGTGTCAGCAGAGGCCACAGTTCATCCCACGGATCCCTCCCAGCATCTCCTAGACAGGGGGCAGGAGGAATGGTGTGGGTGGGGGCTTGTGGTTGGGTCTCTGCTATTCCTGAGCTCCAGAGCTGAATCGTCCGGATCTGTGCAGAGGGAAAGTCATCTAAAAGGCTGCTGTTTTACAAGGTCTGGGCACTCAGCTGCCCCTCCCTTCCCCCTGAAGTTTGCATGAAGTGCATGTTAGGCTGTAATTAGAGGATCTGGGAGGAGAACTCTCCTGGTGACGCTTTGCTTTTCTTCTGCTCTTGGTGAGAAGTGCCTCCTTCATCCCCGGATCAGGACCTCTGCCATCCAGCACCACAAAGAGACATTCTGCACACACGCGCTCGAGCGCACACACCCACACCCACACCACATTCGCCCAGAGACAAACTTAAGGTCAGGAGAAGCCGTAGCTTCACTCCATCTCCAACTCCCAAGTAAGTGGGACTCGAACGCCTCTGGACTGGATTTCAGGACAAGGTAATACTTCCAGCATTTCTGTTTGGTGGGTTGTTTTTTTCTTTTTTTCCTCTTGCATACATATCTTGGTGCCTTAAATATTTGAGAGCACTGTGTATATAATGTATGTACATTGTAAACAAATTTTATTTTTTTTCAGTATTTAACACAGTACCTCCACTTTTTAAAGTTTATTGTCAGAGAAAGTATCATTGCAATTAACAGGTTCAGCCTAGAAGAGGAGAAAGAATTAATGTTTTTCTAGCTTTGGCTACTGCTGCTATTAATCTGAGAGGCATGTGGTTTCAAGTGCTGGCTTTTCCATCTCTATTTCAACAAGCAGTTTTACAACAGCTTCGATGAGAAGAGGGTAGTACAGACTAGAAGAGGAGCTGTGGAGTGGGAATGTCCTCCCAGATTTATGACTTCTGTCTAGGAGGATAGACAGGTTTACATGAAAAAAAAAAAGTTACTTCGTGCATAGGTAATACCTGTTAGATTACACAGCCTTCGAATCACTATCATGTTGAACCTAGGTCTGTCTGGGTAACTGCAAAATTAAGAATGGATAATGATGATTAATCAATGGACAAAAAAAATTCAAGTGGTTTTTAAGAGCACTTTCTAAAAAGTTACTTAAAAGAGTTATTTGCTCCTTGAAGGAACTCACTAATGAAAGAAAGCCTGGACTCCCAGGGTTAGATTAAGTTGTTCTCTGCCATTGAATATGCCTGTTGTGCTCAAATGATGTAGTCTATTCGTTTGAAAATAAGTTGTTTTATTTTCATTTATCCCTGGAAAAGTACACAAAGTCGCCAGTCCATTTGGGGTTGAGGGTGGAAAATGTTCCTGTAAGTGGTCCAGTGTGAGGTCATAAAATAAAACATACTGGCTGGCTGTTTAGAACCCAACGGTTATTAAGAAACAAAGTCTGTGAATTAATTTCCTAATAAATGTAATATTTATTCATTCCAAATGTAGTTTCTGGTAACCATTACTATTTGATTGTTTCAATATCCAGAGTTTTCAGTAACTTTATACACATTTCAGTAGCATTTACATTTTAATGATACAAAGTAGAACCATTATCTAATAAAAATATATCATCATGGATGCATTTATTTATTTGAATGAGAATCTTTTTTGTTTTATTTAATAAATCAGAATGTCAAAGGACTTCTATTAAATATATGTGGATATTATTTTACTGACCTCTTTAGTAAAACTGTAAATTGCCTAGAAATGGAAAACTAAATAAATAAATAAAGTGCATTTTCTGCGAACTGATTGATAGATTATAAGAAAGCCAACAACCTTAAAAGACCACTGGCCCATAGGAGGAACACTCCCAGAGGTCAGTATTCCAAACAGGAGTCCTCCGTGGACCTAGGCTTTCTCTAAGAGGGGAACACCATGTTCTCATGAAGTGAGGCATTTATTTCCAGCAAGGCACTGTCTCTGAGAGGAATAACTGACACTAATTTAGAAGTACTGAAGAAACCTTCACTGAGAAGAATCGATGCATTATGTCCCTAGTGGTTTCAGTTCGTTTTCCTTCCTTTGGGAGTGAGTAACACATCCAGTATAAATACATCCAGGGTGTACAGAAAAACGTCTATGCTGGGCGGTCTGAACAGGCCCCTCTTTTAGTGTTCTGGGTGTGGAGTAGTGTTATTTCCTGACTGCTGAAGAAGATGCTTGGACTGTCTTTGCACTTCATCTTTGTAAAGATGAACACGGGTCATATTCAGGAAATAACTCCCTTCGGAAAATACCAGTTTTTATCTCCTTTTACCCGAGACATACTTTATTTTCCCAGATTACAGGCTGAAGATGAATGGTATCCTACCAATTAAAATTCCAGTAGCAGTCAAGGGCAACTTTGAAAATGAGCTTTACTTTGTAGTCTTCTGTTGCTTCCAATTAATTTCTCGACTACCTGTAGTCATTATTACTAACCACATTGCTTAGTCTATGTCATTTACGTTTACTTACCCTGTCACTCAAAAGGTAACAAAATGTTAGGGGAAGTAAGGAAAAACAGAAATATGACTATGCTAGAGATTTTAATCAGCAGTGTTTGGGAAGGATTAGAGGAAACAGCCGATTGAACAAATATTAGTGTAGAGGAGGCAAGGTGGTGTAAATTAATAACGCAGCTCTTCATTTACTCTATGAATGGGAGGGCCTGTAGTTTAGAGAGAAGCACGGTCCCTGATCGCCACCTAGTGGATATGCATAGAGGTTTTCTTATCAACCTCTAAAAACTCACTGGTTTGGGGGTCAATTGCATAAGAATTAGCCAGTTTGTTTGGTTGATACATTTTACCCCGTAACAAAATGACAGACTATGGAGTGGGTGCTAAGAATAGAAATTGAAGTAAGTGTAATTGTTATGTAAATTATAAATCAAGGCCTCACTGAACAGTTTATTGAATTCCCAATGCTGGCATTTAAAATCACTTTACTCTTCATGGGTTAATTTCCTGGCAACTTTCTGCCTTTTGAGGGGAGATAGTTTAATTACACAACTCGCATCAAATGTAAACAGATATTATTATACAGTTCAAGGAAAGGCAGATAGAGCACTATCCTGAATTAATTTCTCAAAAAGAAACACATTTCTGTATAGTTTATTGTTACTGAATCTGTCTAGATAAGAAGATGTTAGCTTAAAGGGCTAAGGTACAGACACTGTACATTCTCTATGTTTCTAAATAGATGGATAAAGATATCCAAAATTGCTTTTAGGTCTATCTTATAAAGTACTCTTAAACACTAATAATTAGTATAGAGGACAACTTTATGTATCCCTGATGCCCACATAGAATTTTAAAACATGGACTTTGCTTCTGTGAAGTTCATGTGACAAAAATTTCTTCCTAGACCAGTGTGCTTATATCTGGAACCAGTTTGACAGGGGGTTAATTCTAGTGTGTACTGCTGTTTCAAAACGCCTTTTCTCTGAGAGATATATGAGTTATCACTCCCATGGGTTTCCTTTAAGGGATATGACTTAAAAGGTGCCAGTATTGACTAGATGAGAATTAATCAAGGTGAGAGGTGAAATTCCAATTGGAAAGCTCAATGGCTCATTGGGGAAAACCTGCTGAGTTTCTCACCTGCTGAACTTCTAAGTCAGGCCTGTTGCAGCAGAATAGGAGCCCTCCTCTTTAGGAGTTCTGGCTTTTGGCTTCTTATTGTCCTTGGACGGCACTGGGACCCACATAGTAACAAAACAAGAGCCACTCACCAAATCCTGTTTTGTGAATTGCCACCACACTGGAGTCTCAGCGGGACAGAGGTGATCAGCACCATCACTCAGGTAAAGTGAAACAGGTCATCTTTATTCTTGCCAGCAATGGGTCATGTCCCAACATAAAAAAGAAACTCAAGCCAGAAAGAGGTGACACACACCTTTAATGCCAGCACTGGGGAGGCAGAGGCAGGCAGATCTCTGTGAGTTCCAGGCCAGCCTGGTCTACAGAGTGAGTTCCGGGACAGCCAGGGCTACACAGAGAAGCCATCTACATGGTATGAGTGCTGGTGAGGGGCTAGCTGAAAGACAGGTGCCCTGAAAGCAGTTCACTCTGGGATGACTGAACCTGTCACGGAGTTCTGAAGCCTCCTGGTAGCTCCCTGATGCTAGACAGACTGAAACAAATGAGGGAGGGGATTTGAGCAAGTCTCTGAAATGGTGTGATGTGGCTGGGGTATGGTTGTATGGTCAAAATTCTCAGTGATGCCTTCACCCATCTGGGGAAGGAAGACTCTTATCTACATGTCTCAAAGAAAGCCAAGCATCTTTGTTATTATTATTTTGAATATCAAATGTCACCCCACCTCTTTTACACTGTTTGCTTTTGTCTGTCTGTGACACTGGGAATTAAACCCAGGGCTTTGCACATAGGGTAACGGAAATTTTCCTTCTGCCAATTCTAAAATTCTGAAAAATTTCAACTTGTTAGCTGCTAAATTCTGATTTCTGAAAAGTCCAATTAAAATTACATCATTTCTACAGTCTTACGAGTTGAATCTCAGTCTTCATGCTGTATGACTCTTTCTTGTCCTGACTTTCACTTTAAGCTTTGAGGTTCTCCTCTTTTAAGCATCTTTCTGTTCAGTCACCAAAATGCTACTGAGCACTGAATATTTGCCAGGCATTGTAGCAGCATCATTTTCTGTAACTCTGTCCTGTACTTTGTATTAGGAAAACCCACTATAAAATAACTAGAACTCCAAAACTGAAGCATTTCAGAACCCTGAAGTATACTTCAAGTGACAGAAACAGCCCAAAAGTTCTAGTGTCTTACTGGTCAGGTGTGGGGACAATTTTGAAGAGTTTTCTTTCCAAGTCGTTTCTTTATCACCTAGCTAAGGTGATAAGGGCTGGGTTTCTTGGTTGTGTGGGTACAGTTAGGCCTACAAAGGCAGCTGTGATAGTCCTAAGCCCCAGCAGACCTAGGGTTCTGACAATGCCTTTTGTGTCCCTTTGCTGTCTGCTAGTTACAACTAAAACCAGACTGCGCATGGAAGGTTTGCTACTTGCTGTTTGTGCCAGGCAAGCCTCATGCTAGGTGCTACATAGTCATTAGTGCCAAGCATCTTCAAGTTAGTAGAACACAGGACAGCACATGGCGTGAGTCACAACTCCAGCTTGCCAGGGAGCTGAAACTTACCTTCCCCCACCCCCATGTATGCTTCTTTTGCTGTACCCAAACTCCCAAGCCTTTTGTATACCTTAAACTAGTGCTCTCCTCACACCTATACCCAGGGATCTGCTGTTGTTCTGGTCTCCTGGCTTCTTAACTAGACAGACTCTACTCATGCATTCGCATTTCAAGCCCTTTATCTCTTAAAGTAAATGTTTTGTTTTAAGTGAAAGAATCTAAAACATCTGGAGGCATCTCCTGCTTGCCCCAAATGGGGGTAATTTTAGAGTCTTCAATCTCCCAGTTGTCACAGCTCCTGAGGAGTGTTCCCTCAAGGCCTGTTTGCAAGTCCTCAAAGAGCCCAGGGCT